TGCAAAAACAGTATCTTTCAAGTCATAGAATAATACTATTTGTGAAGAATAATGTGATAATTTAATCAACATAATATTATGAGTGGCATAGAACTATAACATCAACAACAGACACACAGGCATCACATTCACTTGTACAGTATAGACAACAAAGTTATAAATTATAGATCTAGTGACCACTAAGATAAGAAATTGTTAAGTTTTTCTTCCTCTCAAGTTTATGTTTTTCTCTAATTAATATTAGGCCTACTTTATTAAAGGGTCTCATACTCATAGTCATAAAGCCTAGTATTATTGTTCTTTTTATTGTTGTTCATTCTTTGATGTACTAATAATATAACCTAGGCCTAAGGCATTCCAGAATCCATGGATTTAACAGCTTACTCCAGTTAGTCTTTCCAGTGACATGCATTCTACATGAGCATCGCTTTGTTTTATTTTGATTTCCCAATGAAATTTTTTTTTTATGTAGGCCTCAGCAGCTGTATAGATCTAAGTATAGGCGCCTGTGTTAACAAACACAATGTGATGAGGTTTCATTTCTATTATTCTTTATATATACAAATACTTTTAACAAAATAGCTTATTCTTGGCTAGATAAATAACAAAGATTTAACCAAAAATCATTTTTACTTGTAAAAATGATGTTTGAGATTGAGGAATTTCCACATTGTAAAAGAGTATGAGCCTTTCGTTAGCATTTTGCCAAAATGGCCGCCCCCTGGAATCGACTAGTCCCCATGTGTGAATCAAGTTGCATGATAGACAGGCCTAGGCCTAGTGTGTCTCCACCAATTTGCAGGCAAGTAGTCAAGAGTTGCTCTTCGGTCATTCGCCCTCCAGGCCACTACTAGATCAAGATCTAGAAAACTACAGATCTAATCTAGATCTAGATCTAGATTCTAGATATCTAGATCTAGATCTAAAATTCTAGATCTAGATTTAGAATCTAAATCTAGACCGAACTGCACACTCTTGGCTGGGTGCACAACAAAATCTAGATCTAGATATAGATACATTTATTCATTAAATAATCTATTTCTCTAGGCTAAAATAGATTAATTATAGTAACACAAGATAGACATACTACCCGAGATGATCAGTAAGTAGGCCTAGCGGCCTTGCAATGTAACCAATGTAAACTACCGCTCGCTCAGCGAGCCAATCACAATCCTACATTTTTGGGGTCCACCTAGACACCATGACTACGTAGACCCCAATCGGGGAGTACGTAGACACTTCCAAAAATCTAGATCTAGAGATAGATATTATGTTGTCTATCTAGAATCTAAAATCTAGAGATCTAGAGATCTAGATGATCTAGATCTAGATTCTAGATCTAGATCTAGAAATCTAGATCTAGACTCACTCCCACAATGACCGTCATGTAAACAAACGGGACCGCAATTGTACAGGAGTGCCGAAACCGTGCACCGAAAAAGAAGCCATTTGAAACTAGTAGACTCCAGGCCTACAGAAGCAAGTAGACCTACTGTTGGTAATTATGATA